GGGGTTTGCTAGCATCCAAAGGCCCAAGCCAGGGCTCTCTGGCTATAAAATCCATCCTGTCAGTCTGTGAAGGCCTGGGCTCACCCTTCCCAACTGTGATTTGTTGAGCCCCTTCACTTCCTAGAGAAGGACCCAGAAACCCAGAAAGCCTTGCCAGAAGTTTCTGACCCCTCAGCCCTCACCAGCTCATGAGTATAAGTGGGTTAGTATGTACAGAGCCTTGTTCCTGACCCCAAATCAGAGAGTACCCCGAGAACCAGGAGGGCAGGGTTTGGCTGGACAGAGCTGTAGTGAAAGGACTCCTCATGTGGTCCTGGCAGTATACTTATTGACACATTAGCATGCTGCTCAGGTATGTTTTAGGCATCTTTCTGGGAGTGTGCCACATTTCAAAACATTCATAACATTTTTCTTGTGAAGTTGGGAGGAGTTTGAGTGAGAATTCTCCGGGAAGCGTCTAAAGGGACAGAGATGGAGGAAGTGTTAGCGGCTGTCATGATCATCCACCTCGAACCCCTGGTCCATGCTCTGTGTCTGTAAGATGGTGGTGTCTCAGCCTGGAGAAGGTTCATGGTCCTGCACATCTCTGGGTGTCTGGAGGTGAGGGTGGAGTTGCTGAGGATAAAGGGATGGAAAGTCAGGGAGGGCACTGGGTGCAGACATCAGTCCCCTTTGCGAGGATCAGCTCGCTCTCTGCCATCACAATGGGGAACAGACCTTCCGGGGCCTGTAGGGCTACAAAAACCTGCCCTAATTGGATTCAGCATCCTCAGCCCCACTCCTCATAGGAAGTTCACAGACAGAGGCCAGATTCCAAAGCTGGCCTGGGGTAGGGGCAGAGGAGTAGCAAGGGCTTTGGGCTTCACAGAACTGGGGAATGTGGAGGGCAGGGGGACTATGGGAGGTGGGCTGTGAGCATTAGCTGGGTGGGTGGGTCTCAAAGAGCCAGGTAGAAGGCTATCTCATATCAACCATCCCCATGGCCTCATAAGGATTTGCCTGCTGGAAACCTTGCCCTGGTTTGCTCAGGGCCCTCCCTCTTTGCATGAACTGCTCTGGCCGCCCCCTATGTCTTCCTTACATCCTACCTACTTCACCGCCTGCCTCCTGGCCTGTGCAGGGTTTTGCAGGGTTTTTTTTTTTTTTTTTTTTTTTTTTTTTTTTTTTTTTTTTTTTTTTTTTTTTTTTTTTTTTTTGGTTTTTGATTTTTTGAGACAGAGTCTCTGTGTAACAGCCCTAGCTGTCTTGGAACTCCCTTTGTAGACCAGGCTGTGGACCTCGAACTCACAGAGATCTGTTTGTCTCTGTCTCCTAAATGCTGGGATTAAACCCAGCTACCTGTGCAGTTCCTCGTGCTCTTCTGGGGAGCTAGCCTTGTTCCTCCCATACTAGGAATGCTTCTGCACCTTGCCACTCTTCTGGCACAGAGAGACCCTAGGGCCGTATGGAGTATTAATGTGGACTGGATCCTGAATGACTCTAATTTGGTGGGTGCCTGGCTCTGCTGTGATCCTAACCTTGAAGGTAACTCTTGGCTGCTGGGGAGACCAGTGTATTTAGAGGTGTGGCAAAGGAAAGGTGGAAGATACAGGGGCTAGGAGTGTGGGACTGGGTGGCCTGATTCCTCTTAGGTAAAGAAGAGATCAGAAAAAATGGCCTTGAACCTAAGACCTGTCACTTGAGCCATGAGGCCTGACTGGGGTAGGGAATATCATGAAACTTCAAATAAGCTGTCTTCAGCCAGCTCATAGCTTACATGAGCAACTGGGTAGACAGAAAACCAGACTCTCCACCCATGCCAGTGTGCACTGAGCTGAGGTTTGATGCCAGGGTTCTAGCTCCAGATGTTACCTTCAAATGGGTGGCACCGGCTGGCATATAAAAACAGCTTGTTTGGGGTGGGAGCTGCAGGAACTGTAGGAGCAGAAGGTTGGGTGATAGGTATGGATGTGGCCAGCAGGGCCTTGCAGAAGCCTTGGCTTCCCAGCTGTGGGCTTAGGACTTCCCCAAGCTATGGGGCTTTAAAGGGCTTCCAGTGGAAGAATGAGTGACAAGCAGGCTGGCTGTCCCTTGAGACTCTTCCTGGCTGGAGCCACTGGATGTGATGGACTTGAGTCCCTTCCTGACTGCCCTCCTGCCCAGGGGCATGGTGATGCTGGAACTTGCAGTGGAACCCTTAGCTTCTCTTCTGTGGAATTTGGAGAGTGTGGCTCTTTGAATAGGAGAAAAGGTGCCTTACTTGGCCAAACAAAGCTTACAAAAGCTTTAATTTTATTCAAACAAACAAACAAGCATTCCTCAAGACAGCCACATACACACTGTTGAAAAGCCATGAAAGACAGATATGAAGTACATCAACCCCCCCCAACCTGTCTCTGCCCTGTTCCAAACTCCAGATGCCTCCCCTCACCCCCATTCATTAGCAATCGTCTCCTCTTTTCTCCCAGCATCCAGTCTTGGGTGTGGTTCTATCCTTTGTTGTCCTCCTGGCTCTGTATCAAGAGTATCGTCTCACTGCCCATGGAATGTTATCAACCATGCTTTTTAATGGGCATGGTAGCCTGGGCTCCAGATCCCATATAGGCTGGATGAGAACCCCTATTCTCTGCTTGGCTTTGAGTAGACTTCCCTAGTCCCTCGGTGCCCCTGCTTCCTCTTAGGCTCAAGTGCATGTTGGTTGAGCAAGTCACAACTGTGCCATTATGGACTGCCACAGAGGAGTGGCATTTCAGAGCTATCTCCCTATTGCTTGCAAGTTTGGTTGATCCAGGTTTTCGATCTTAAAAACCCATGGACACAAGCAGTGCTGTGCATGGAACTTGGGGATGTTTTCTAGGGGTGGATGACCAAGACAGGACACACTAAGCCAGGTGGTCTGGCTGTTTTTAGAGCTCTTGGCACGTTGTGGGTAGATAGATGTTCCAGTTTACACTCCCACTGGTCATCCACCGGAGTGCCCTCATCTTCCACATCACATCCTCACCAGCATCAGGTGTCAGCATTGGCAACATTCTTTTTGCTCCTTTGGTAGGTGAAGCTCGTTGACTTTTCATGGCTAGTGAAGCAGACTGTTGACTGTGCTCACTAGCTGTTGCGTCTTTTGGGGTCAGCACACACGCAGCCCCTCCTCATGTCAGTCAGAATGAGGTTAGGTAGATATGAGCCACAGGGCTGAGTGTAATGCAGGGGAGGACACTTTCTCCTTTCCAGGCTGTGACATTTTTAGTTCTCTTCACTAGTCATGCATATGCATTGCCATTCATTCATTCATTTGTTCAGGCACCAGATGCTGCCAGCCTAAAAGGCCTCTGCTATGGAAGGTGCCCCGATGATGGACAGGGAGCAGAGCCTACAGGGGAAGCAGACCCCATATGTTTCCAGGAAGTAGAACCTGTGCACCAGGACCTATGGGAGGAGTTGGGATCATTCCTCCCCTCCAAGGATGCCAGACAGGATTCCCTGACAGGAAGGAAGCAGGAAGGGAAGTGGGCCTTGTGGAGAGAGGAACTTTCAGTCTGTCTGGTCAATGTACAGCGGGACGAGCGGTGAGGCTAGAGGGTAGCAGGCGTTTCTCACCATGCCATGTCTTCAGTAAGGAGCCATGGAAGCTTCTAGGTAGCGTAGGATGCAGCCACTGCAGTAGAGCTTAGGGTAGGCAGAGGGTGGAGACCGAGAACCTGCAGGAGGTGGGGGTGGGACTCTTGCAATAGCCGAAGGCCTGGACCAGAATACAGGGAGCAGAGACCTACTTTGTGCCCAGCCCCAACCTATGGAATCCGAACCAGGGTCAAAGTGAAGATTATGTTGCCTCTTTCCGGAAGCCCTCCTGACATCCCCCCTCAGCTTGGTCTTAGGATGGTGTTGTGAAAGGCCCGATGTGTGGTGGCTCTGGAGTACCACCATCAGCTGAGTTGACTTTCCCATGAGCCTCCTCGCTTCCCCCCCCCCTTAGGCTTCCAAGCACTTTCTTTCTTTCTTTTTTAATAATAAATTTATTGTTTTCATTTTAAAAGAAACTGAATGCCATGCCTGAGAATTTGGAAATCAGAGAAACAAAGACAAAACCCCAAGCAGCAGAGGCTAGCACCGCCCCCTGGGCTCCCGGCCCTTGTGGGCGTGGTTCCCTGAAGCCTCCTTATAATCACAGAGTCTCCGCTGAAAGGGTCCTGCCCCTCCCACTTCGCCATCCCTACCCAACCATCCCCACCCCTGTTTGCTTTGTTGGAAGCCTGCTCCCATGTGGCCACAGGGATGGGGCAGATCTCAGTTTAATGTCTGTGGCTTTGGGGGCGGGGCCTAAATTGTTGAACTGACAGCACCCACTTTCTCCATCCTGGCAGCCATGCCCCCTCGCCTCCTTACAACCCACCTTGGGCTGTGTGTCCTCTGTGTCTCCCGGTCTAAGTCTGTGCTTCCCCCTGCGGCAGAGCCTGGCACCTAGTGTGCCCCTCAGTTATCCCTTCCTTCCGGAGCTTGCTAGACTAGCCTCACAGGCTTTCTGGAAAAAAGTGACAGAAGAATCTGCTTTGAAATCTGTACCTAGCTCCATATTCTCAGCCAGGTTGCTTAACCTCTCTGGACCTCAGTTTCTTCATCTGTACCATGGGTCTGTTGTTGCAGTAAGTAATGGCTGTAAATATCCGTCACGGTCCCCAACCCATTGTAGGTGGCCACCTTGAGTCAGTTGCTGGCTCAGGTGAGATACCGAATACCATCCTACCTGGGATCCTCCCAGCCACTAAGTGATAGCCACACCAGAGTGCATGTGATCCTTTAGGGCCGGGCCAGGCCTGGGTGGGTATCCTTACTCCCTCACTCACTTGCTGTGTGACTGGTCAAGTTGATTGACATCTTTGAGCTGTATTTCTGTTAAATGCTCATTTCACAAAGTCATTGGGAAGATTCAATACCTCGAATCATAATATGCTCAGCACATTGGTGTTTAAATCAACAGTAGCTGTCATTTTATTATTATTGTTATTGTTATTCCCATATACAAGGTGCTGTTGGGAACACAGAGGAAGTGACTGACTGGGGGTTCAGGGAAAGCTCCGTAGAAGAGGGAACACTTGAGCTGGGTCTTGAAGGATGAGTAGAAGTTCACCAAGTGGGAAAGGACCCTCTAGGTAAGGAACCTATGATTCTAGGCTGTGGGTCTGTCAATAAGGGGTTTGTTCTTTGGGGATCGAGGCATTGTGTTCATAAAAGTCCTGAGTGCCCCTCTCTGCTCTCCTCTAGGGGTGTCAATGGGGGGGGTATGCTTGCCCTTTTAGTGTTGGTGGCTTTGGCTTCCTGTGTCTATGGGTCCATGCTTATGGTCACAAGTCTGTGTCTGTCCCCTGCCTGGGTTTGGTACTGTCTGCATGTTATGTTGACTATGTTTGTCTCTGTCGATGTCCAGAGATCTGGGCCACACTGTGGGGACAGCCTGTACATTTCCTTGGCCACCAGCTCCCCTGAGTAACCAGGCCCCTGTGGTCACTTCCCTCAGGGCCAGGTGAAGCCTTAGCCTCATCCCTCTAATTGGGAATTCCCCTGCCCAATTCCTGGCCTCTCTAGAACCTTCTATAGCTGGTATTCATAGGGGTCTTACAAATCACACATTCCACCCCTTCACCTCCTGCTGCAAACACCTGGACTCTGGGCCTAAGAGCTAGGGATCAGCCTCTGTGCAAGGCCCTGGCTGACTGTCCAGGCCCACCCCTGTGTGCCGGTCTCTCTGGGAGGCCGCACACCCCTCAGTGCATGACTTGCCTACAGACATTAGCTGACATAGTCACTTCTACCCACATGCCTGCCCCGTCTGTTGGTTGACTCCCACCCAGTCTTTGAGACTCAAGGCAGGCTTCATTCCCCCCTGAATCCTCCTTGGCTCACTCCTGCAGGGTAGGCCAGCCTCTAGGCAGTTTACCCCTTACGTGGAAGCCAGGCAAATGACTTGCCCAAGCACACATATTCAGTGAAGTGGGGTCAGGATTTGAATCAGAGCCTGCTGCTCCCCGATGGGAGGGAGGTGCTCATAGCCAGGACTGCTGGGGAGGCAAGGGTAGATTGGAGAGTGTCTGGGAATGGCTTCCCAATCCATCTCAGCTGTGGCTGTTCTGAGGTGGGCGGGTTAACTATGTGCCTGTGACCTGCTCAGAGGTGGGTGACTGGAGGAGGGGCTTGCCACTGGCTGACTGATACAGAGCAGCTTCTGAGAGGTAGCCTGAGGGAAGGAAAGGCAAGGGCAGCAGGGACCTGGGCTGAAGCTCTAAGTGGAGGTTCCCAAGTAGATAGGCCACTGGTGCTGAGCTGCTAGGGAATGAGGGGTCCTGCTCCCCTGATATGAGGGGCTGGGCAGAGAGTTGTGAGAGAGGTCAAGAAGGCAAGAAGCCCTGGACACCCAGGAACCCCCTCATGGACGCAGGTGGCCCTGAAGGGAGTGGTCTGGTGATGTGTAGAAGGCCTCATGGGTGGGAGCTCTTTCCTGTGAATCTCCATTCGCTGTTTCGAAGACAAGAGACATCTGACTGGCCCAGGGTTCCCTAGTGCTGGTCTCTGTTTGGTTTGGTCCAGTGTTTGTAAAACAGCTCCAGAGACATGTCATTCGTCCACAATTCAACTTTCTTTACCTTTTAAAACAAGAGAAACAAGTGACAGTTATGGGTGGATTGCAAGGGTCAGGTCTTGGCTTCTGCCAGTGCTGAAGGCCCCAGCTGACTAACACTGTGTCTCCTCTGCCCACCCAGCCTGGACACTCAGCCCGGGCAGGCTTGGGCTCTGTCTCTATTCCAATATACTTCCCCTGACCTTGGCACCCCCCGCCACATTTCCCCTTGGCCCAGAGTGCCTTTTGTCACTTTCCCACCACTAGCACCCCATCCCGTCTCATACTGGCATTCAAGGCCCTGGAGCACTGGAAAGGCCTTCATCCTTTTCCACACTGCTACACCCCATCCTCCTCCATCTGTCCTGAATGCCTCCCGTTCTTGCCTCTCTCCTCATCACACCCACCTGCCAGTGAGTACCAGGCATTGGTGAGAGCTGCCCCATGCACTTGGCACACAGTAGGTGGATACCAGGGCCAAAGTCCTTGACCGGCTCATAGCTGGACAAGGGTAGAGAGGAGGGGGCTGTAGAGCAGACCTGGTGTCCTGGGCAAAGAGAGCATCCCTTGGTGTGCCTGCTTCTGCAGCTAAGGCAAGGGCTATCCCTGGCTACTCAGCGAGTTGATGAGCGGTAGCGTATACTTTATCTCAGCAATGGGACCCTGGACAAGCCCTCGGCTCCCTAACTCCCTCTTTGAGTCAAAGAGGAAAGAGAGGAAGAGGAGGGCATTGCTCCCCCAGAACTGTCTGAAGCAGCCTAGCACAGTGGGCAGAGTCCTGGGACAGGGCAGCGTGTCTCATCCACCTTCCTGATGAGGAGAACAGCTCAGCATCCAGGCCTAGCTCAGCATCCAGGCCTGGCTCAGCATCCGGGCCTAGCTCAGCATCCAGGCCTAGCTCAGCATCCAGGCCTAGCTCAGCATCCAGGCCTGGCTCAGCATCCAGGCCTAGCTCAGCATCCAGGCCTAGCTCAGCATCCTGGCCTAGCTCAGCATCCGGGCCTAGCTCAGCATCCGGACCTAGCTCAGCATCCAGGCCTAACTCAGCATCTGTCCTACCGCTATGCTACCTGTCCCTGCAGCCTGAGAAGGTCTCCCTTCTAATGACTGATGAGTTCTTCTGTGGAATGGGGACAGAAATCTTCCCTGCTTGCCGTCCTCCTGGCCATGTACAGAGTTCCCCAAGAGGCCACTTTGTAAAGTGAGCAGCTAGAAAGTGGGTGGGCTTGCCTTCCAGAGAATTTGAACTCTTCGCCTCAGTGCATTCCTTCATGCAATTCACACGTGCACCCATTCCCAAGCTACCTTAGTTTAGTACTCCAGCCTTCCCTCCCCCATCTCTACCTTGTGTCCACTCCAAGTCACAAGCATGTCATCCTAAGGCAAGACACCCCCCAAGCCTACAGCCAGAGGCTATCTCCTCTCCTGGAACAGTTCCGGGGCCAAAGCACTGGATTTTAAGTCAGGCTGAGGCTAGTGGAGTCTCAGTGGTATGCTCACTTGCTGTGTGATCTTGAGTCAGTCACTCTACCTCTCTGAACTTTCGTCTCCTCCCTTCTAAAAGTGAGCATGGGTGAGAGTCCCTGCTCTCAGTGTCAATGTGCCTGGTACAAGGTGGGCACTGGTAACTCACAGCCTCCTCTCCTGAGTCTTGCTTTGAGGGTTTTCTCAGGGCAGGGGCGAGTCCCAAAGGCCTGGGGACAGTCAGGGAGCTAGGCAGATGGAACATGGCCTTTTGTCTATAAGAGGCTGCCATGGGGTTTGATGGGCATAGGGAAGGGCCTCCCATGCCTTGGGAACTGAAGACTGATAGGGCAGGAGTTGTCCTGCTTGCCCACCTCCCCAGTCCTCTGCTCCTGCCTAGGGGGCTGAGACCAAACTCTCCCCAGGTTGGGAGTGAGGAGTAAGGCCTTTCCCAGCAGTCATTTGCTTCCTTGCAGAGGGGTTTGTACCACCGAGGACTAGAATTTACAAAGCAAACGGCCAGGGGAAGCAGTTTGAGCAGTCTGACTTTCACAGCTTAACCCTAGGGTGGCCTCTGCCTTCTCTGCAAGCCTCAGTTTGTCACCCACACTGAGAGATAAGGACTGCCTTTTGTGCCCTGCTTATCAAGTAGAGATCACAAAAGGTGGTTCATAGGAAAGCTCTTCCTAAGAACACTCAGACTGGATTGTGTGCGTGTGGAAGGAAGACTTGCTTCTCAGCCCTACCACAATTCCAGCAGGGACTCCGAAAACTCATCGGAGCAGAGAGTTTGCAGGCATTTCTTCTTGATTTCTGGAAGATTCCTCAGTCAGCGTGGGCAGGAAGCAATGAGTACCCCGTGCAGTCAGTCCCCGAAAGCCACTTTAAACTTACTCTTGAGTCACAGAAAACTCACCCCACCTTCTCAGAGGACAGGGCCTGGCCTTTGGATTGACCTGGCCTGACCAAAAAGGCTCTCAAGCCCACAGGCTACCATGGAACTTGCCAGCCGTGGGGGCTGCCCATGCCTCTGTCACACTATGCTGACCCCTGGGCTCCCCAGCCTCCTGCCTTTGAGCACAGCCCTCTGACACCCATGGTCAGATGTTACACCTGTCCACCTGTCCGTGCCTGAATTTTCCGGTGTAATTTGTGGAGTCAAAGGGAATGCTTATTTGGCCTGTATAAATTGTCCTACCTCACGCCCTTCAGAGAGGCCTTACCTTTGCTCCATCCCGTGTGTTCTGATTAGGACATTTTCCCTGGGGAGGAGGCAGAAGGACAAGGGTCCCAAATGGGGAGTTGCTTTGGTATCGTGGCTATTTACGAAGGTGTTCCCAGGGTTCTCCAGGTTGTCTTTGGGTGGGAGCTGGCTCTAAAACCTAGAGTGTGGAAACTGGCCTGGCAGCATGGGGTTGGGGGAGAATGCCGGTGGGACCATTCTGGTCTGAATGTGACCTTTGCCTCTTGAGGTTCTCCCAGTGAGACACCGAATTCCTGACTTTACTCAACCTGGGGATGTGGGTCTCTGGGCTTGGAGGGAGGCTCACTTGGCTGAGGAATTTGGGTCCTAAGGGGTAAGGAGACCTCTTAACTGATAGTGACAGCCTCTCTGTATTCCTACAGGATGGCCGAACCTCGATTTAACAACCCCTACTTCTGGCCCCCTCCTCCCACCATGCCCAGCCAGGTAAGACTTGCGCTCCCGCTACCTTCCGCATTGGAGCCGCCATGCTTTGCCTGGGGTTTGGGCTGTAGCTTGCAGTGGGAGGACCCTGGAGTGTGCCCCACTCATCCCAACCTGGCCCCCCTCCCTTCTGCAGCTGGACAACCTGGTCCTGATTAACAAGATCAAAGAACAGTTGATGGCCGAGAAGATCCGGCCGCCTCACCTGCCACCAACCTCAGCCTCATCACAGCAGCCACTGCTAGTGCCCCCCGCGCCCGCCGAGAGCAGCCAGGCCGTCATGTCGCTGCCCAAGCTGCAGCAGGTGCCTGGGCTGCACCCGCAGTCTGTGCCGCAGCCGGACGTGGCACTGCACGCCAGGCCCGCCACCAGTACTGTCACAGGTAGGCTGAGTGGGCGGGGCTGGAGGAGGTAGGGAGTGTGGGTGTGGTCTGTGGAGTGGGCGGGGCTGGCAAGGTCTGTGGAGAATATTGGGGCATCTGATTCAGATGGGACTTGGTGACAGGAGGACTGACCAGATGAGGACAGGGTGGGCAGGACCCTAGGTTGTAGGGAAGCTTGTGGAGGGGCCAGTGGTGCTAGCCATAGTCCCCAGGCTTCCTCTGACCTTGAACTCTGAGAATCCCTTCCAACAGCCAGATGCTCACTAGGAAAGTTTGAACAGATACAGGAGACCAGATGTCTTCCATGGAGAGGAAAAGGAAAGGCTCATGGAAGACCAGGGTGGTGGGGCAGGATGATGTAAGAGCCCCAGCAGAGGGGGCATGGAGCAGAAGGCCAGGGGCCAGGTTTAGCTCGTGAGGACTGAGGATTCTGCTGTGGCTGTTCAGCAGTGACTCCAGTTAGCATCTGTGTGTGCTTAGTAACAGTTCTTCCTCAGGGCAGCCCGGTGATGGGTTGAAGAACAGACAGTGTTTGGTACCAAACCAGAATCTTCATGCAGTCCAGCCTGCTGTCCCCTTTGAGCAGAGGAGAAAAGCAAGGCAGAAGGCACTGTGTCCCACACTCAGCAGTTTGGACTTTCCCCTGGGGCAGTGGGGAGCCACAGCTATAGGAAATCTAGTCTGGTCATGAAGTGGGGACCAGCACAGAAGAGGAAGAGCTTCTCGGGAACATAGTGAGGTGGCTGTGAGGATGCTTCTGGAGAAGTGGATAGATCCTTACAATGAGAAAGAGCGATGAGGCCTCTGGACAGGATGTAAAGGGGGAGGAGGAGGTGGTGCGTGGGACATGCCCAGGGCTGTGCTCCTGGGATGAGATCAGCCTAGGGTCACCTCAGTGTTGAGGAGCTTGAGATGGGTGCAGGGGCAGCACCCAGGGAGGGTCACCCTCTTCAGAGCCCCGGGGACAGGCTTGCTCAGGAGGCTGCCGAGGCCGGGTCTGCCCCCTCAGTGGCTCACCTCTGCCACCAGCCAAGTGCCTTTCTCCTCGTTCTCTTGGAGATGCGCCTAAATTGTGGGCCTTGTGAGGCTCCCCAGACCCCAGCAGCACTCTGCACATCTCCTGTTATTATGATTTTATTAAATTTATTTTTTTCATTGTAAAAGTAATATTAAAAAAGCAATATAAGCATATTATGGGAAATTTGGAAAAAGGAGGAACTAAGAAAAAAAATTACTCATAATCCCCAGTGCCTAACCCAGACTCTTTTTCCCCTTAACCCAGAATCTTAGAGACTCTTTCAATGCTTGTTTTCTGTTTGTTTTTAAATATGTGTGTATTTGCTGTGTTTGTGGCAGGGCTGTGTCAATGGTTTAACTTTTTTTTTCCTATTTGCCATTCTATCCCAGACATCTTTATTGCACTTTTGTTGTAAAGGTAATAACACAGTCATTATTGAAAATTTAGACATTTCAGAGAACCCGAAAGGAGAAAAGAATTAGTCTCAGCTCTGCTATTGTTAGAATTCTTAGGTATGTTTTCTCTGTAATTTATTTTATTTTATCCTTTAATCACAGATGTTTAAAGCTGGGTGACATTACCAAGTAAAAGAGTCAAATAATTTCAAATTAGACAAAGAATGAAAATCCCCCATGACCAAAACTTCCCCTCCCTTGTTAGAGAGGACTATATCGGCTGTGGGCACTGCAGAGTCTGCCTCCATGTTGGCATACTCATGCTGTCGTCTGCTCGTATAGTTAGAGTGCGCTTTCTGTGGTAGATGGGCCCCTGGGAGCTTGCTGGGTCTAGCATTTCTCTGTGTTCCTTGCATCACAACTCTCCTGTTTTGGTGGCCGTAGAATTCCCATAGCCGTGCCCACAGACTCTGTTGAGGATAAGCACTTCATAGCATTGTGTGAGAATACAGTTTTGTGCGGAAAGCCCCTGCAGGAGATCTTTGTGCTCGTGTGTGACTGTTTCTATATGGAGATCTCTAGCAGTAGAATCAATTGCCTGATTACAAGTTATGAGCATTTAAACGTTGATATCTATTGCCACGCTGTCCTGGGTGGAGGCTGAGTAAGTGTACATTCCTGCTACCAGTGTGGGGTACAAACGATGCTTCAATCCTGGGTATTTTTTTTAATGTGCAGATTTTGGCTTATTTAAAATTATATAGAGATAGATATAAAAATTGAGCCAGGTGATGAATGCTAGCATCACATTTTATCTACTAAACTTGCTATGGTAGTTGTTTGTGGCCCTTCCTCCTTCTCTTTTGTAGTCTAAGCTGACCTGGAACTGCTTATCATTCTCTCAGCCTCCCCAGTGCATGTATTACAGGCAGCTGTTATCCCATTCCTGCCTTAGCTTTTCAAAGAATAACTTTTCGCCTGGGCACAGTAGTACATGTAAGAGATAGAGGCAAGAGGTTTAGGACTTCAAGGCCAGGCCAGCCAGGGCTACATAAGTAAATCAATAAAAACTGTCGCTAGAGAATTTGGGTTTTTTCTCTTTTAAACTTCATTGCTGTCGAACCAGCAAACAGTTAAACCATCCCTTTTAAAGCTTGCCCTGCCCCCACACCACATTTGTGCACATCGGCTGTTTATTTTCCCCATGCAACATACACAACCGTTTGAAACAAAGATAACGGGAAGTTCCGAAGAGGAGGCCGGCGGCTGTACACCCAGCCCTTCCCTGATTTGCATAGTTCAGTTGCCTCTGAAATTTTGCTATTATAAATAACATGGAGGTGAATGTCTGCGTGCCTGGGACTTTTCCTGTGGGTGGAATTATCTCTAAAGTGCCTCTTGGTTTCTACAGTGCTGGGGATCAAACCCAAGGCTTTGTGCTGGACCAGCACTCCAGTGAGCTAGACCTTCAGCCCCTAAACAGACTTCTTAATCTAATTAAACTTAGTCCTCAGCTTGTCTAAGGCATTTTTTACACATACGCAAGCTCTCATTCAGTTGCCCCTGAGTAATAATTTAGGGCTGGAATAGCTCAGAACGGAAAGAGGACCTGTCAGTCACAGAGCAGGGTGGCTTGTGCTGAGCTGTCCTCATCCTGCCCCATGTGTGTGTCTTCCCAGGTCTGGGGCTTTCCTCTCGAACCCCTGCTGTGAGTACATCTGAGTCAACCCCAGGCTCTGGCACAGGCACCAGCACCCCATCCACACCTACCACCACCAGCCAGAGCCGCCTCATCGCCTCCTCCCCCACCCTCATCTCAGGGATCACCAGCCCCCCTCTCCTGGACTCCATCAAGACAATCCAGGGCCACGGCCTCCTCGGCCCCCCCAAGTCTGAACGCGGCCGCAAAAAGATCAAGGCAGAGAACCCAGGGGGTCCCCCTGTCCTTGTTGTCCCCTACCCCATCCTGGCCTCTGGTGAGACCGCAAAGGAAGGCAAGACATACAGGTGAGGGTCTCTTCATATGGGATCCGGGTGGGGTTGTGCTGGAGATGTGTGCCTAGAGCTAGAAAGTGGGACTCCAGGGGATAACGGGGGAAGCTAAAATTCAAAGAGCAGGCTAGGGTCCCATCAAAATACCTGGCCACCAGGGAACGAGGTGGAGAGGAATAGAGTTTAGTCCCATCAGAGGTGGGCCAGGGCAGGTAGCACCCTTGAGTGCTAAGAGCCCAGTCCTTCTTGTCACACAGGAGTTCTCTAGACCATGGCAAAACATCTGATGGGCTCCCACAGCATGCTGCTGTCAGGCTGGGTGGAGGTAGGGAGCTAGGCACCTGTACTTGTCAAAAAGTTCCCGAAGATTGTAACACACAGCCAGAGGAGAATGACTTAGCCTGAGAGACCCTCCTCCCCCAGGGCATCAGGTGTGACCATGGGAAAAGCCTGACTTCCCTGCGGTTGTATGTAGCCCTGCTCCTCAGACAGCCACAGATGTTCCCAGATGTTTGAGCTCCCTCCAGACTAGAAGGTGCCTGCGCTGGAACTTGCCTCTGTCTCTCCCAAGTGGGCCCCTGTCCTCTGGACTCCACAAGTAGAATCCACCCCGTGCACATGGTCTCTTTGCTAGAGAAGGTCTCCCTGGAGACGGCCTGAAGTGGGTGGGGATCTTCCCAGGCGTGAAGCTGCCTCTTGCCTGCAGGTGTAAGGTGTGCCCGCTCACCTTTTTCACCAAGTCCGAGATGCAGATCCACTCCAAGTCCCACACAGAGGCCAAGCCCCACAAGTGCCCACACTGCTCCAAGTCCTTTGCCAACGCCTCCTACCTGGCCCAGCACCTGCGCATCCACCTGGGCGTCAAGCCCTACCACTGCTCCTACTGTGACAAGTCCTTCCGACAGCTCTCTCACCTCCAGCAGCACACCAGGTAGGTGCCCCCCCACCCCCTGCTGTGGACCCTGGAGCTCAGGGAGGGGCAGGGACTTCCCGGTGCCTGCTGCCCCCAGGGTCAAGTCCAGATTGCTCTGATGACCCTTTTAGCCCATGCTGGATGAAGCCCTTCAACATCACTGAGCTCTGTTCTCACTAATGCACAGCCCTTCTCATCTCCTTCACTCGAGACGCCCTGGCCACCTCCTCTGCCTCCCTGGGCCCTACTTCCTCCACCATAGCTGGTTCAGGTGTGGCTTCTGTGAGCCCATCGTTCCTGAGCACCCAAGGATGTTTGTCTCAGTTGAATCAGGAGCAGGCTGTCTCAAACTTGCCTGTGTGTTTTTGTACTTGCCTCAATGTTTTGGGTGCTGTGGAAAGCAAGGGCTTGGTGTCCTGCATTTCTGTATCCCTCGTGGGTGGCAACACATCTGAGTGTTTAGGCATTTGTTAAGTATTTGTGGAATAGATAGACCTAGTTTGAACAGAGAATGTGATTCATCCATTTAACAGACATTTACTGAGCCCCTATGCTGTGCCAGACAGAATTCTAGGAACAAACCAGACAAAAATCCCTGCCTGGTGATGCATATAGTGTAAGGACAGTTAAGGATATGGAAGTGTGTGTGAGGGAGAGTAGAGACTAGATACAAAGACCAGAGGAGTTGTTTATAGAAACAAAGGCTCAGAAGATTGTGGTAGTTGGTATGTTCCATGTGTTCTGACCAGTACAGCTTGCTGTGTGACTGTCGTGTCTGCAAGTGAGGTCTCTGTGTACTAGTGTTGACTGGACCAAAGTCAGGGAAAGGACTGTTTGATTGTGGAATCTGTAACTGCTGACAGCTGAGGTTTTCCTTCTTTGCAAGAGACTAAGGCTATATCAGAAACTATTTTACTCCTAGTGTTCCTTGAAAAATTGTTCAGTGGTGTTGGGAATCAAACCTATGGCCTTGTGTGGTACTAGACAAGAGTTCTACCACTATGCCATATTATCCCTGGCCCCGGTAAATTTTTGTTGTGTTTTATTTTATTTATTTATTTATTTATTTATTTATTTTGTAGCCAGTTAGCTACCACATTCCAGCCCTTTTAAAATTTCCTTTTTTCTTTTGAAACAAGGACTTGTGCTATTCCCAGGTCAACATTGAACTTGCTATCTTCCCACCACTGCTTCCCTAGTAGCTAGGTAATGTTGTTGGTTGTTTATCTGTCATGGTGACCTTTGTACTCTTTATCCCAGGGTATAATGCCTGTGTGTTTCTCTGGTGTAGGGCATAATACGTAGGCTTAATAGTAAGAATGAATGACAGCATGGCCCAGGGCGAGCTGTCAGCTTGATTTCCCATTCCTGTGTCTCCTCAGGCACAGTTCTGACTGTATAAGTGTGTTTCAGTAATTTTCTGATTTTGTCCTGCCTTGAGTTTTAAAATTTTTGCTGATCTGATATGCATAGGTGCATGAGACCTGGTATTGATGAATAAGCAAAGACCTGCTAGTGGCATAGGTTGTAGAATTATAGCATATGATACAAAATGCTTCCAGGAGACTCTGCCAAGCCCCGGGGCCAGAATTTTAATCATTGTGTGTATGTGAATTTTTGCCTTATATTATTAGGCATCTAACTGATTTCACCTCTGCCAGATGGTATGATGGTGGGGATACCCCCTCTTTTGGAGACCAAGTCTCAGTGTGTCAAGGCTCCTGGATTATTTTCTTACTTTGTTTTATTTGTCATTATAAAGGGTTGATATTGCACAAGTAGCAGGGGCAGGAGGATTGGGAGTTCAAGGCTAGCCTCAGTTACACAGGAAGTTCAAGGCCAGTCTGGGCTACGTGAGATCCTGTCTCAAAGGCAGAACAAAACCAGTCAACAGATGTAAGAAAAAGAAAAGAAAAACTTTAACACCACAAGCTGTGGAACAGGTCCAGACTTTTGCGAAGGCAGCCTCATTCTCACGAGGTACTTTCCTATCAGGCTTGCCATGCCTAATTAAATGAGATTTGTCTTTAAATGTGACATTGCTGGAATGGTCATGGCTACAAATTTGATTTAGACAATTATACTCAGTTAGGAAGGAGAACGGATTCCTTTTGAGCCTACTTGCATGATGGGAGATGTCATTCTGTTAATATGTTCCTCTTATTGGTTAATGAATAAAGTACTGTTGGCCAATAGGAAAGCAAGATAGGCAGGACTAGGAGACAAGGAGCAGAAAGGAAGTAGTAAGGGGGATCGGCATGTAGAGATTGGAGAGAGCAGACGCTGGCCCCACTCTCCGGTAAGATGAGACCACGTGGAAATACTTAGGTTAATAGAAATGGGTTAATACTTAAGACAGAGCTAGCGGATAAGAACCAAGTAACTGGCTAACGGCATTTATATCTAATACAGAGTCTCTGTGTGTTAATTGGGGCTGGTGTGGCGGTGGGACAAGACAGGCAGAGAAAAAAACATACTCGTAACACTTGCAGAACTAATGATGTTGAAAAGGAGGGGTCTCATTCAAGCAGAGAGATCTCACTAAAGTGCTGCAGTTGTCTGTGTGGGTTTGTAGATGAGGTCAGTCATATGTGCTGTTTTGGGGAGAGGTATGATTTTAAATTTCCCTTGGTAACTAGTATATAGGCATGTGACATTTCTGTAGCCTTTCTCGCTCATGGATCTGAAGGGTTAAATGAAGCAGGTCATCTATTTGGAGACCATTTTATTCTATTTTGTTAAATATAGCTTCCTAAATGAAGGGTTGGAGACAGACCAAGGGTGGTTCTCATGGTCCCTTTAAAAAATGAAATATTAACCACAATGAAATTAGCTTCATTCATCATGGTAATACTTCTTTGCCTCTTATACCACGTCTGTCAGTCCACCACCATGTCTGTCAGTCCACTGGGCTATGCTGTCCTTATCTAGACCAAAGACTCAGGCAGTGTCTGGTCTCAGGCTGATACTGCACTCTAAGCCCAGGCTCTGAGCACAAGCAACTGAGGTCTATTCCAGGCTTCTCTCAGGCTCCCTTCTCCTGTTGTTCTTCTGGAAGATTTCAGATGTTTCTGACCTGCCCTTAGAGAAGAAGCCTTTAAGGCTAATGTGAGGCCCAGAGACCTGTGGACAGGATGGCATGATTCCACCCAGTCCACTGTAAAGAGCAGCAGGGTCCAGAGGGAGAACAGAATCTGTACTGAGGTTCTGTGTGTGCCACTTTCTGTACTAAGGACATGCTGCTCACAGTAGGGCTTGGCTCACCCTCAGAGACCTTTAGTTTATCCTATATAGCTGAGAAAGGTATTTTACATCTAGAAAGAAGTGTGTGAGTGTCTGTCTGTCTGTCTGTCTGTCTGTGTCTGTCTGTCTGTCTGTCTGTCTGTGTTTGTGGTTCAGGGGATCAAACCCAAGGCCTTAGGCATATTAGGCAAGCATCTACCACTTAGCCACATACCAGCCCAAGACATTTGTGTGCATGCATGGGTAGGTGAAGAGAGGGTAGGTTGCATATGTATCTGGTTTATACACATAGATGGATATGCACACCCATGAGCACCAGTATGGAGGCCAGAGGGTACTGGGTCCTGTCCCATCATTGTCAGCATTTGTCTCTGGCTAAGCTTAGAGTGGGGCTGGGGCATCCAGCCAAGCCCAGCATCTCTCATCTTTGTCGGAACCTTCAGTCCCAGGATCATGAGTGTGTGTGCTTAGCTATATCCAGCTTTGATGTGGGTACTGGGGATTCATGTAGAAGAAACTGGGACAGTTTATTATTCTGAACTAAGGGCCTAGACCTGAGAAAGACCACCTGGCTCAAAGTTGGCAGAAGTGCATGCTGGGAGCATTAGTTAAAAGCAGACACAATTGGGGCTCAGCGGTTAAGAGTACTTTCAGCTCTTCTGGAAGACTTGAGTGTGACCCCCGCCACCCACATCAGGCGGCTCACAACCACCTGTAACTCCAGCTCCAGGGGGATCCAATTCCTCTGGCCTCTGTAGGTACCTGCACTCACATATGCACACGCGCGCGCACACACACACACACACCAAAATAAATAATTTTTTAAAGTTATTAAAAGCAAAATGGGTGCAATAGCAAGAAGTAATGATTAAAACTTCTGTGTTTTCCCCCATAGGTAGACTTTATTTAAGTGTATTTAAGAATGAATATTGGAGGGCCCATCCTTGCAATCCCAGATCTTGGGTGACTGGGGCAGGAGGATTGCTGATAATTTGAGGCCAACCTAGAGCTGCAGAGAAAGACCCTGAGATCCTGTCAAAAATAAACACACAAAATGGGGAGATGGGGTGGGGGTAGGGAGGAAGAATGTGAGCAAGAAAACAAAACAAAAACTGAACTGGTCTTAAAGAGGACTGTTTTGCCAAAATATTCCCAAACCCTGGGGATTGCTTCTATTTCTGAGGTCTTTTATTTATTTTTTTTAATTCTCTCTTTCTTTCCTTCCCTCATTTATATAATTCAAGTTTGAAATAGACAGGAAACAAAAACAACATAAGAGGAGTCTGTCAACATTTAGAAGATAATTACAAGTCACAGGGCACTGGCTCATACAATTAAGCTACCATGTCTTAGTTTAGTGGCAGAGAGATGGGTTTATAATGCTCCTAAGCCCCAGGAACCCCACCGAACCAAGGAATCAACCCTGTTCTGTTCTGCAGAGACCACGTCCTGTCTTCCTGCCTTGTCTTCCCAGTGTTAGTGTCGTGAAGGGAATAAAGGAGGGTGAAGCCAAAGCAGATGCTGTGCTGGGCATGCAAAAGATGCAGAGTCAGCAAGGGGTGATGCCAGGCTGCCCTGGGAGCGGGAGCTGAAGGAGCTGTCCCCCAGACCACCACCACCACTCTCGTTTAGTGACTCTCGGAAGAAATTGCATTTGGAAGGGAGGCACATGTGAAGAGCAGATGTCTCCCAAACTGTCCCACAAGCCCAGCTTCAGGCGATCATCTCAGCAAATGATATATAACACAGCGTTGCAAGCAGGGCATTCTCTGCTCTAGTCTGTTTATGGTGGGCTCACAGCACGTGCCTTGTACAGTTGTGACAAAGAGATACACAAGTGAAAGGCACCACATGTCTGCAGGTACCAGGGTGTGGAAGTCAGGGATGAATTCAGTGCAGAACTCAGGAGGAATGCAGTGCAGAAGGGGGCTCAGAGTCTATTTGTGGAGGCTAGTGCCAGACAGTAACACTACCTGTGTGTGTTTGCTTATGCTGGGTGCAAACTGTCTCTTGGGTTTGTTTTTCTTACCCTGGCTGTGGAATGTGATGTACATATATAATGATAACTGCAGCTGGGAACTGTGTAGTTGGCTTTCTTGAGTCTGATGACAATAATTATAATATTAAGAACAGCTATTCAGCATCAAAGGGCTCCTGTGTGCCTGACACATGCTTTGATAAGAGAGGGTCCGGGAAGTCTTTGTATGGGGTGAATGTGTTTCTTCATGGGAGATTCTCGCTCCATGAATAATGACTTTTACTATGTCTGCCCTTGTTTTAATTATGAAATTAGTTAAAGCCATCCAGTAGTACCTGAGGATGAATTCAAACCAGCTGGGTGTGGGGACTCGTCTGTCATCCCAGAATGTAGAAGGCTGACGCAGGAGGAATGCCTTGAGTTTCAGGCCAGCCTGGACCAGAGTGAGACCCTCCCTAAAAAATAAAACAAAAAGGAGGCTGTGAGATGGCTGGGCTGGTCAAGGCGCTTTCTACCATGTTTAACGGCCCGGGTTTGATCGCTGCACCTCATGTGGTGGAGAATCGGTTCCCCTAACACTGCAGCAGAACTTTGTGAACAGCCTTAGGTGGAATCGTCCATCCTCACAAGCTGCATCCGTATTTTAAACGATGAGGAACTTGGGACTCAGGGAGACGGAGAGGTGGCAGGAGTGGATTCAAGCAGGGCACACAAAGAGGCAACCTGGGCTCCAGGCAGAAGGGAGGCTGTGTTCTGGGTCTAGGTTGCAGGGGATATGTGGAGGGGGTGAGCATTAGGTAAGAGGGTAGATCTTGTTTTGAAGTCCCCAATTGGGGCTGGGATCATGGGGGGTGAGGAACAGGCAGGGTACCAGTTTCAGCTAGCTTTCCTTGAGCTTGAAGCGGGGCTTCCTAGGGTCAGGCTGAGCATCCCATCTCAAAGTCGTGGGAGCCACAGCTACAAACTCTACTACTGGGGAGATGCTAGGGACAAGATCCTGGTGATGGGAGTGGCCTGAAATTTAGGGCCAGAAGCAGGGCTTTGTGGATAGTAGGAAGACGCAGCCCCATCCTTCGTTTGTCTAATGGCAAATGGTCTCCTTGAGTCCCTTTCTGAGGCAGCCCTGGCTGGCTGCCTCATACAGAGACAAGGTAGTGGTTAGAGGCAGGCCCTGGTCCAGAGAACCCCCATTATGACCCCACTGTGATGAGGCCTCTGTGTGTGTGTGTGTGTGTGTGTGTGTGTGTGTGTGTGTGTTGACATGCCCATGAAAGAGGTGCGGTGAGCTGGAGTATCTGGGACGAGTATTGCCAGGCTCGTCATGCCAGCAGCCAGAGGGCCAAGGCCTTCCTTCTGGCAGAGGGAGCAGCATGGACGGAGGCTCAGAGGCTTGAAGCTGTATGTGCTGGGGAAGGCAGTGAGATACAGGAGGCGGTGACAGAGAGAAGGTCTCAAAACCCCAAGGCAGAGTGTGGAGGGAAGCTGGGGCAAGGGCTGGGAATTCTGCCCCAGACAAACAGGGAGATGGTGGGGGGTGGCTGAGCAAGAACACCACAGGGGTAGGCCCCAGAGATGATAACATAGCTTAAGTCAGAAGGGGGGCACCGAAGCTGGGAACCCAGGAGGGAAGCTGGACAGTTGGCATAGTTAGGTGGACAGAGGCCAGAGAGGTAGTTTTCTGGTTGAGAGGTTTGGTGTTCCCTCCAGAAGAACCTAAGTCCCTATAGGACTGTATGCCAGTCAGTCGACAACACTCAAGAAACTCCTTGAGCAGGAGGCTGGTTATATGAGTCTTATGTCTGATGTCAGTGGGTAGCTTTAGAGATGAGGGTCCATCTCCGACTGCAATCCCCAGCTGTTTATTGAGGGCACCCCTGAGCAGGATGCTGCTGGCCTTTGGAGGCCCAAGCTCTTGCTTGGGGCCTACACTGGACCACCAGAGAAAGAGAGGTGGGGTGGGGGTGGGGACATGGGTGCTGGGAGGGCAGCAGAGGTCTAACTGTGGCCAGGCAAGGGACTGGAGCTGCTGTGGGAAGTGACAGAACTGTTGTCTCACTGGGCCTGCTCTTGCAGAATCCACACAGGCGACAGACCCTACAAGTGCCCACATCCTGGCTGTGAGAAGGCTTTCACTCAGCTCTCCAACCTGCAGGTGAGTGTCTACCTGCCTCCCGCGCCAGATGCACAGCTGTGTCCCTACGTCCAGAGGGTCCAAGAAGGGGTGTGGTAGGAGAGAGTCAGCTGCCTCATGCTATGCCCCTGCTCTGCTCTTCACAGTCTCACCAACGCCAGCACAACAAAGACAAGCCCTACAAGTGTCCCAACTGCTACAGGGCCTACTCAGACTCCGCCTCCCTCCAGATCCACCTCTCCGCCCACGCCATCAAGCACGCTAAGGCCTACTGCTGTAGCATGTGTGGGCGGGCCTACACCTCGGTGAGTCCGGCTGCCTGGCCCCAGGTTCCCGAGCCTCTAGGCGGGGCTGGGGCCTGTAGTCTGCTCTTCTGAGCCCAGGAATGTGGAGTAGCCTCCTACTTAGGGAAGCCGCAATCCCTGCCAGAGCCACCAGAGGGCACAGTACCATAGCCAGAGCCACCCATCCTTCAAGGAAAGGTGACCAGAGATGGTTCCTGGAAGGAAAAAGTCCCTGCCCCAGGAGTGGCAGCCAGGGGCAGGGTATTTTGCCTTGCTCCTGGCCAGGGCTAATGGAGGATGTGGGCATGCAGATGGCCCCGGCCACCTGACGCATCTAGTCATGATGTCTCCAGGCAGACTTAGAGCCAGTGGGGAAAGGGGTTGAATCAGGTGTGGCTTCACTCCCAGAGAGGCCAGGATTCCTGCTTCCAACTGGGATAAAATGTTAAGGCTGGAGAGGGAGTGGCCTCCTTGTCCCTACTGCATGTCAAGGGTTTTAGGTAATGCCCATGCTCATAGAGGAGGAGACTGAGGCTTGGGGGAAGGTTAGGGGAGGTGACTTGTCCTAATGCTGAGAAGTAGCAGAGCTCAATTCTAGCCAGGCACCTGCTTCACCCTGGAGGGAAACACTGACCAGATACAGATGTGGATGTAGGATGTGATGGCAGGCAGAGCTGGGTTAACACTGTGCATCTTCCTACAGCTGTTGACAAAGAGCTATTGGCTTGGCACTTAGGGGTTACAGGGTTTGGAGTAGGAACTGTTGAGGGTGAGTCTAGTTGCCTATCAGTCTTGTCTCACACCTCCAGCCAGCACTGTGTAGAACTGGACTCCCCTAAAGCAGCCAGAATCACCCCAGCAGCAGTAGAACCCCTAAAGCCCATCCCACAGGTCCAACTGAGCCCGAAGGCTGTGGCTGCAGCCCCAGCATGGCTACCCTCCAGTGGCCACTTTGGGAACTGCAGCCTCTGTTGTGATGCCTTCCGCATCTCCTATCTGCCCACAGGAGACCTACCTGATGAAGCACATGTCCAAACACACAGTGGTGGAACACCTGGTGAGCCATCACTCACCTCAGAGGACGGAGTCCCCTGGCATCCCGGTGCGAATCTCTCTGATCTGAGCCCACCTGTGGCGCCGCCCCATCCTCTTGGCCGACACAGACCTAGGCAACACCCAGCCTAACTCGCGCTGGGGCCTCCAGGAACCACCAAGCTCTCTCATGACCTTCCCAACCTGCCAGAAAGCTTGGTCCGCAGAAGCCCTGCCTGGTTCGGCTCCTGGGCAGCCAGGCCAACTGCAAGATTATGGACTGTTCTGGCGGCATCCAAAGACGATCTCAGAGCACTTTGAACCTGTCTGTCGGGTTTTCTTTTTGTTTCCCCTCCCTCACTGGCTTCACTGTTTCTTTTCTTTTCTTTTTTTTTTAAGTTTGTTTTGGAAATAACAAAAAGGATATTTATTGGCCAGAATGTTGGTGCTGCTAAGAATGAGAAAGTAAAAGGACTGGAGAGACGGATACAGAGAACCAGAGGGCAGCGTGGGACCTTCTCTGGCCATAGCCTCAGGTCTTGAGGGGAGGCACAGGCCTGGGGTTCTGGACTTCAAAGGGGCCCCTCCCCCAGGTGGGAGGAGACAGCAGACAGCTGGAGTGAGCCCTTCAGCCATTCGCCCCGCTCAAACTGCCTGAGCCTTGCCCTTGCCTTCACTGGGCAGAGGGTACGGCAGCTGCCAGGGCTGCTTGGCTTCAGGGCATGGAAACAAGAGGGGTCTGGAGAGCCGCGGGATCAAAGGGTGCAGTGATGGCTGGGTGGTAAGCCCAGGGAAATGGGTTGGGGGAGTGTGCCAGATGAGACCTGGCTCCTCCCCTGGTGCCCTGAAGACACCCCAGTCTACCTCGGTGCTGGCCAGGAAACCTATCGGCTACCTCTCCCACCACTCCAGACTGGGCAGGGGGATGGGTATGGAGTGGGCCTGGGGCTAAGATCTCCTTCAGAATTCACTCCAGAAGGGGACAGTGCCCAAGGAGGGGTTATCTTTCTTGCCACAGAAGGGGACTCCCCAACCCAGACTCCAGGCCCTGCGGCAGGGATAGGATCCTCCAAAGGAGGTACCAGGAGCAGACTCTGCCCCCAGCTCCCCCAGACATCCCAATCCGAAAGCCATGCGTGTCCGTGTATATAGGAACTATGTACAGAGCCCAGAGAAGCCCTTCCACATCCCTTCCCCCCCAGAGAAGAAGAAAACTAGACAAAACTCATCTATATATTCTGTATCTGGAGTCCATTTGAATATTAACTGTGTTATTTTTATACACTTTTTAAGCCTTAACTCGCCATTGATTTACCAGTTTAACGTTTCCTGGGGTTTCTTTTCCACTGGGGGGTTCCCTGCCCCCCACCCCGCCCCCTTTGTTTGACTTGCGTCGTCTGATACTCAGTATTGTAGCTTTTCGTCCGCATGTTACTACCCTGTAAATATGCTGTTCCAATGCTGTTAACACCCTTGGCTTTTTTTCTATGGGACCTCCAGGCCACCATATTTAGAAATAGTTACCTTATTAAAAAAGAGAAAACAGTCTGTTGGCTTCTCAGTCTGCATCTTGGTGGCAGGGAGGCAAGGGCAGGTGGCCCTTGGAGCTTCAGGAGAGTAGCTTCTAAAGAAGGGGGTGAAGCTAAACAAATCAAATGTGGGGGAAGAGCACTAAAGGGGGCGAGAGCCAAAGGGATGCAACCCATTTATCTGCTCTTTGTATATCTCTGATGTGAAGAATAAACTGTACCTACACCCGGGCGGTGGCGGTGTACAGAGTGCTTGGTGCTGTGTCGGGTGCTGTGTGGGAGAGTGGGCTGGACCACCTCTGCACTACTCTGGCCCAGGGTTGGAAAGGGAGGCCAATGGCTATTTGTTGGCTTCCATGCTTTGTGCTAGAAAGCTACATAATGCCCTGCCGCACCCCAAGAGAAGCGTTTTGCCCAGTCGAGAGGCAGGGGTGTTGCACATACCCAGTTTTTCTAGTTTTGAAATGTGCTTTGGGTATACTAGATTCTGATTTCCCTCTCCCTTCTGGCTGTCCATCCCAAGAGCCTGATTTATGGAAGCTGTTCTAGTGTTGGAGTAGGAAAACACGTTTCCCTCCATGGTGGAGACAGGTGGGTTGATGTCCAGGAGGAGGAAATACAGGAATGAATCCCCCAAGTTTGTTAAGGTTGGCCCTAGTGAAGGTAGGTGACTCAGGACCGGGTGGTCACAGGACCCCTATGTGAAGCACATCTCCCCGGGAAGGAAGCGGGATGTGTATTAGACTCGGTCAGTGTGACTGACTGCTTTTGGCTTATGGTTCTTGTCCATTGGTTCTTGGCCTTCAGTTTAGGCTGAGGCTTGAACATTGAGGAAAGAGGGCTGTACAGTGGAAGATGCTCACTCCATGGCAGCCAGGAAGCAGAGAGGCAGAGGAAGGAGCAGGAACAAGACATGTCTTTTATTGTTTCTAGGCCTGTGTGGGGCCAAGCATCAGTGCTGAAAAGTGTGGCTGTAGGAGGAAAAATGGACAACTTCTCTGTCTGAATGTAACACGAGTGAGCGCCAGTATTTTCCAGTGGTGTGTCCATTCCACTCTGGAACCCAGAGAGCACAGGGTTTTGTTGTCACAGTCCTGTCCTTACTCTGGTCTTCCAGGCTCCCAGCAGACTTTCCCATAAGCTCTGTCTACAGCATTCTAGGCTTTGTTGAAACCTCTACTAACTTTTCCAGATTCTTCCTACAAACCCATTCCAAAGGCCTCAGATGGTCATGGCAACGACCTAGTTCTCTGGTAGAATGTGTGTGTGTGTGTGTGTGTGTGTGTGTGTGTGTGTGTTGTTGTTGTTGTTGTTGTTGTTGTTATGTCCTGGAACTAGCTCTGTAAATGAGGATGAACTCAAATTCACAGATATCCCCTGCCTCTGTCTCCTGAATGCTGGGATTAAAGTTGTGCACCATCACCCGGCTATCTCCTGTCTTCTTGAAGAGCTGGTTGCTAATTATTTACCAGCAAATCAGTGAATGACGCTGCTGCTCCTGTCAGCACCTCCACCCCATGCATCAGGGACTAGTTAGTTAGGAGATGGTAGGCAACTGAACTGGAAGACCCTGGGGACTGGGTGCTACAGTGGCTGTGATTGGCCAGACTCAAGCAGAAGACAGAGGGCCAGAGGATGTAGAAATAGCCAGAAGAGACTAGAACAGTAGTCGCTTCAGTTCCTGAGACTTTCAGGCTTCAGTGTCTTGCCGTATTTCTTTTCCTATTTGTTCTGGCCTTTGGGAATTTAAGCTGCTAGTGGTGTGACAATCAGTTACTTGTGGCTGATTGTACCCTGGGTCGAATGAGATTGGCAATAGTGACCACTTAGTAGGGTAGATGTAAGGTGACAGATGTCAACCATCAGGTGTGAGACGCTTGAACCTGTACCTGCATGTAGCATCAGTAACCCTGCATGTAAGTAAGTCTGGACCTTGCTAGCATTTGGCCTGGCCCTCCTGGTCCCTAGACAGCTGGAGCTGTTGGGGAGTTTCTAGGCAGCACTTGTACAGCAGTGGGCATCTGAGCCACACCTGGATTCTCTCTGTAGCACTGACTCTCGTAGAGCAGAGATTTCTGATTTTCGTCTTCTCCCTTGGAATATGTGGGCAAGTCCCATAGACCCAAGAACAGTGGTGGCAGCCATGGAAATCTCTGTAGTTTTGGGGGGGGGTTGGTTTTTTATTTTGTTTTGCTGTCAAAGCCTTTGTGAACTCTAAACCATTCCCATACGAAGAGGATGTCTAGCCGAAGGGACGCCTGTGAGTATGGCAGAGAGGTAGGGCTGGGTTGATTCAAACATCTCTTCTATGGCTATAGAACTAGACATCGCTGCTCTTACTGAGCCAGCAGGGGTGGGGGTGGGGAAGATGGGTGACACTTTCCGGTGCCGCTTCCCTCACACTGCACTGCTAGGCCCGTAAAAGGCTGCTCTTGGATGGTCTGGCCAATGTTTAAGGGTGAGGGCAGACCCAGCCACATGAAGAAAGGGACAGCATGGCAATGGTGATGGGAGAGGCAGTGAGTGACAGCTGGCTGGGTGGTCAGCAGGCCAAGTTACAGGATGACAAGACAGCCAGCTGCCTGGGAGCTGAAGGAGGAGTGCTCACTGGGTCAGCCAGGCCAGCTGCAGGAATGGAGGGAGAAGCAGTGGGACCAGAGGGGGCAGAGCATCACCCAGAGGTGCAGCAGCAGCAGAGAGGACAATGAACTGAGGACCCAGAGGAGCTGCAGGCCCTGGTCACAGGAATGGCCTCAGAGACTGAAGGATCAGTGGCTGTAACACTGATCACGGGCAAGGTCTGGGGGGCCCAGGGACCCTCGGCTGCTGCCGAGGACTAAGACAGGACTCGCCTTCAAGGTCTAGGCAAAAGTTTTAACACTACAAGGCACCCCTTGCTGCGACTCCCACCCGCTTGCCGCTGCTGCTGTTACCAAACACCTGGGATACAAGAGCTGCCGAAGTAGGCTCCGCGAGAGCTTCCTCTTGCCTGTCCATAACTTGCATCTGGTTAGAGCAAAGGGGCCCTCCAGCCAGCTGATTGGTAACAGTGTCTATAGGCCCGGGAACAGGAACCACTTTTCAAGATCTCTGAGTTTTCCAATGTCCCCCTTCCGGAGTCACTATAACTGGGCTCTCACTGGCTTCATGGTCTTGAAACATCTTACGATCCCCATTCCACACCCGCAGTGCCAAAGATGCCTCTTGTGCCTCGCTGGCCGGGGAAACATGCTAGTTTCGCACCAGTGCATACTCCTTGGGCTCCCAGAGCAGGCGAGGGTGGTGGATCTCGGTCCTCCAGCCAATTTGCAGGTCCCAGCAGAACTCAGGCGACAGCAGCTTGGTGGGCTTGTACAGCCAGAAGAACTTGTTGAGGTGGCTCTCGTCGTGCCAGACCGCCTCGATGCCACGCTCACGGTCCAGCTGCTGGCCAAGCGCACAGTGAGCTGTCAGCTTGCGCAGTGCCGCCACATTGCCCCCAAATAAGGCTGCGTGGTAGTAGAAGTCGCCCTCGCCCCATGACAGGGCAGCAGCTGATCGCTTGTCCCGCTCATAGGGCAGCAGCCACCGCGGCCAGTGGTAATGCCAGGAGTGTAGCTGTGCTACCAAATCGGCCAGCGCCTCAGGCCCAAAGTTACCGGTAAAGCGCTGGTCTACATCCAGGCAGAACACATAGTCAGCTTCTTGTCCCAGCTGCCCTCCCAGAGCCTCATATAGTGTGCGCATGCGCGCCATGGACACGTCCTGCCAGCGGCTCTCTCCCTGCACAGGTTCTACCCGCAGCAAGCGACCCGGGCCCAGCGTCATGTGGGGCACTGCTTCCGGGCGATCGGTGAACACATAGAACACCACACTCTGATCCACCATGAAGTGCTGCTCTGCGGATTCCAGAAAGCGTTTCAGGTATTTCTCCAGGTACCTGCCAGGCGGTCACAGGCCAGAGTCAGTCCTCCTATCCTCCACCCCTGTCCACATGGGGCCATGCAATCTCAGATCTGCAGCCTTGGGATGGTGTATTAAAGGGGATTGAAAGGTGTCTACCACTTCTTCCTGGAAGGGATGAGTTGCTCAGCCCTGTACCCTGGTATATTGGATTTGTTCTGACTCCTTTGACCCACTGAGGATGCTGGGCTACCCTTGGAGGACAGGAAGGGTTTGCAGTATTCTGAGCCCTGTAGGAAGGGGACCCAGGACCAGAGGCTGTTACATGCAAGGAAGCCTGTGTTGGTTTTTGGTTGTTATTATTATTTTTCCCCCATCAACTTGACACAAGTCAGGGTCACCTGGGAAGAGGAAACTTTAATTGAGAAAATGCCACCCGTCATCAGATTGGCCTGTAGGCAATGATGTGGGAGGGCCTAGCCCACTGTAGGTGGTTCTACCCCTTGGCAGATAGTCCTGGGGAGTATAAAAAACAGGCTGAGCAAGTGCATGGGGAGCAAGCCGGTAAGCAGGACTCCTCCATGGTCTCTGCTTCTGTCCCTGCCTCCCAGTTCCTGCCCTGGCTTCTTTTCTCTGTGGACTACCAAACTGAAATAAAATGAAATAACCCCTCTCCTCCCCATGTTGTTTTTAGTCATATTTTAGTCATCACAGCAGCAGAAAAGTAAATTAATGTAAAGCCTAAGCCAGCCATGGAGGGAGCTTGTTTGGAGAGGTGTCAGTAGGTCTTTAGTTATCTTCCTGTTGGAACCCTGTGGCTCCCTGGAGTGGGAACTTGTGGTGGTCATGCGCTTTCTTGTGTAAGTGACTTCTCTCAGAATAAAATTACAATAACCCATCTTGAGCCTGGTCTCGTGAATCTTGATCCATGCATCAATACTACCTAGACGCATGGTCTCTTCCCTGGGTCTTACCTGCCTACAGCAAAGACAGTCAGTCCAATGGTGAGGTTCTGCCGTTTTGCCTCTTGCTTGGCTACGTGTGGGTCGAAGGTGCTATCCCAAATAATTGGTGCTCCCCAAGAGGTACAGGTCAGGACTTCAGGCCGGGCCCTGGTCATAAACAGGAGGAGTAGGAAAGACCATTCTGTTCATCCAGTTGCTTGATACCTGCTCATTTCCACTTCCCCGTTGCTGGACACTAGGGACCCATAGACCTGTTCCTACAGACCTTTAGCTTAGATCCAACCACAGACTGGGTGATATGTGTGACCTGATGGAGCCACTAGCTTCCTAAAGACAGAATGCCTGGGTGTGGGTGAGAAGAGGGCCGAGACCTGGGGCAGACCT